CCCCCCCCCCTCAAGTTTTGGGCTAAACCGTAAGTATTTGAAAGCCCTCTCTCTGCTTTGTCTGCTCTTCATTTCTTAAGAGCTTGATATTGTTCTTTGAGTTCAGGAATGGTATAACAGGTCAAACTGAGAAGAAATATCATTTTTGGGACCTACTAGTGTTTGTTCTCCAAGCCAAGTTGTTCTTCGTGAACGGTCTTGTTTCGTTAGTGAGGAGCATAAGTTTTATAGTGCTGCTAGGTTGGTTCGCTATAAAGTACACACCTCTCTCGAGGGATCATCGGAGTTTAGATGAATCCATTTGAAGGGTCTAACAGGTTTTGTGTCCACCAGAAGGTGCTCCAGAAAATTATTGTCATTCTTGACCAATTTTCAAGCATAAGGTCATTCTCTCAAGAATTGGCTGGATGTTTCTCGAGTGGCTTAGTTACTATAGAGTACTGCATCGAAAATTTTTTGAACCGCCCTATAAGATCACAGTGTCATTGATTTGCTACCACCTAAAATAAAATTGCTTTCAAATAGAGTACAAGCATGCGATCCATGAAGATATCATGGTGTCGAAATTGCTCTTTTTTGACAACAAAAATTCCGTTTCTCAACTCAAAAGGTAAAATAAAATAAAATAACTTTGGGATAGGACGAAAACAATTTTGTAGAGCAAGCTATGCGCCGCATCAGTCCAAATCCCATTAAAGTGTAGGGAAGTGGGTATTCGAAAAAACCACAGGGCTGTATTAAAACGTATCATCTCGGTTACTATTTGCTCATAAAACTCGGTGTTTGTAGCTGTTTTCAGCAGTCTTCATGCAATAAAGGCACCACTCAAACTTCACTGAACCCGCAAGTGCAAATTTTATTTTCGAAATTAAAGCAGAAGCCACAAGGTCAATCGGTTTCGTGCATATGAATGCATAAAAGAACGAGCAAAAGTTCTTTTTTTTCATGTATAAAATGGGTCTAAAATTTTAGCCTGCTTTGAGAAAATCACGTCTCTAGCTGGAGCGTGCAGGCGTTGAATCAATGTGATAGATAGTCGAATTTTTTTCCTTTCTGCCTTAAAAGCTTAAAAAAATTACTTTGTTGGGTTGCACTAGTTACATTTTGTGACAAAATGAAGTAAAAATTGCAGCCGCAATGCCTTCTATGAAACTGTTTTTTTGTTTGTTTTTGACACTCCAGCATTGCGGGTCGTGATGCAAGCGTGATGCATTATTGCGTCATTCTTATTTCATCACTCCAAATAAAATCTAATTTTTATAATTTTCTCATAGAATGTCTTGACGTAATGTGTTATTTATACTGCACCTTCAGCGATTTTACTTAATTATTTGTGCTATATTTTCTACTTGCTTCTTCTTCATCGTTTCTTCTTGTTGGTGAAGTTGCTGTCTCACGTCGCAACGTAATTACACGATATCATCGGCTTTTATAGGAAACTAGGTATATTTTAGGTAACAAAATGAGTGGGCTTACCACAGTCCCAGACAACATCAACTTTCCGAACGAAGAGCAAAAAATATTGAAGACTTGGAATGAAAATAAGGTTTTCGAAAAATCATTGAAGTAATATTTGAGTGTTGAACAATTTAATCGGTGAGATTTCTGGTTTTATATCTTTCCACACTTGAGGTTAGCGGCTGATAGACCCCGTTTCACATTCTTCGATGGCCCTCCTTTTGCTACCGGTCTTCCACATTACGGGCACATTCTGGCTGGAACCATAAAGGTATTTTCATATCTTCCAACTACCGCTTTATCTTTATTATGTCCTTCATTTGGAGTACAATTCAATATGTTGCTAGGATGTGGTTACCCGGTGGGCGCACCAGAACGGCTTTTATGTGGAGCGTCGGTTTGGATGGGAT